TGCACCCGACCCCTATGGCGCCTCCTGCGGGTGGTGGGCCTGCGGGAGGATGGGCCCATGTCTCCTCTTCGGGCTGTGCCCGGCCGTGCAACTATGAATTAAATCTGTAAAATTATTTTGTAGTCGTTGCAGTGTAACGTACCTGTAGGTCAAAGAATTTGCTGTACCTTCTGTAGATGACATGGGAAGTGGAGTCTGAGTAAGTAACATTGATAAGGTACACCTGCAGAGAAAAGAACAAACAAAAGAAGCCCATTAGGAACAATATCACTTTGTCAGAGACATCATGGCACCGCTTTACCCCTTTCTGACTTTACTTCAAAGGATCATCAAAGGTCAAATAAATTCATTATGTTTCTCTTTGTCAGTCACACATTGGAAAGCCATCAGGGGGTCAATGAGAGGGCCAATAGATTTGAAGCATTGTGTCTCATTAAAAACATGCATATTGAATTACTCTTGTGTATTTAAGTGCAGCCGATTGAATGCAGCTGATTCAAATATTTCACAAGTACAAATATTGAATGCGGCGGTTTAATAAACGCTGTAAGCCTGTTATTTTCTTTGCTGTACATGAATATGAGACTCTCATTAGTTTTCATTTTTGAGTTTTACATTACCAGTGTCTCATGAGTCCACCGTTTGAAGGGGAAAAGTTGCTTCCGTTGTGTCAAGTTCTGCCAGTTCTACCACCACAAAAGATAACAAGGAAAGGAAGTGCTGACTCATGCTAAAGCGCAAACAGGAGTATCCTTTCCTTGGCACAAATCGGTCACTTACAAAATACTCCCAAAATAAATTTTTTATTTACCTCAACAATAAAGAGCCCCAAAAACAACTGCGCTCACCCTGAGGTTCGGAAACAGATGGCTACACCTAATACATTTTCATCTAAACCCATGGCGCAGAGTGTTTATAAAAGCATCATTTACACATATGGTGGCAAGTTGCAAGGACATCAGTTACTAGTTTGAAATGAAGTCTTCTGCTTATTACAAAAGAGTTTTCCAGCAGCTCGCTAATTAGACACAGACAGCCCAAACTCTCTCATATTAGGCAAAAGCACGGTTCACTTCAGAAGCGGAGGGGTTGCAGAATATTATCAGAATATTAATTTGCCATCTGGAGAAGCTGGGACGGAATTAAACCACTAACCTTGCAATTAACAGATGGGTAGCCACAGCTGCCAAGCTAATATTTGATGTCACTTTTGGTAATTTAAGGTGATCTCTACACAGTAGTGATATAATGTGTGACACTTTAAATGTCATGTTTCAGTTGTATTTATATTTATATTTATGTTTATTGTTATGTTATGTTATTCTGATTTTTAAAAAATAATAATAATAACAATAATAATATTTTTCTTCTGTTTCATGTATAATTGCTTACACACATGATTTCAGGAGAAATGTATAGCACCTGTGTAGTTTAGGAAAGAGAGCTTACACAAGAAACCACACATGACACTCACTAACTGAATGCACCATGCTATTTACTGAGGTATTCACACTTTGGCACAATCAAATGGCACACAGACTTGACTCTAGCTAGTTTTGTAATTTTCCATCAGTTTTCAATTGTTTCCAGAGTGGGTTTGTTCATTTCAGCTTAGCTTTGTTTTAATCAGTTTCAGTGTTTTAGCCTTTTTAATCATTATAATAGGGTGTTCTTTGTCAGGAGCTGACAAAGTAATTTGTAATACCAAATTACAACACAATCACATTTTGTAAAGGCTGTTGACTCACAGTCATGCAGACCTCCCAAGCCTTACTAAACAGATGCATCAAAGCCTCCTCAGGCTTGGTTAACTAATTTGACCAAAGACTAAAACTAAAGACATTTCATGTTTCTTCTTTTTCAACATGGAGGTTGAGTTAACTAGAAAAAACACTGCTTAAACCAGACCACATGCATTGGATATTTGCATTCTTCTTTCCGTGTTTAGCTGAGCTCAGAGCAATTGTGTAATTCTGTTGTTCACACACATTCACGAAGCTGTGAGAGTTTAAATACCTCGATTGGTAGTCACAGCTGATAAGCATGCACTTACTGTAAATGTGTAAGTATCTAGTTACCAGGAGTGTTAATATAGTAAACAGAGGATTTGACATCTCCTCTACCATAAGCACCCTTTGGAAGTATATGTAAACAAGGCTTAGTTGCTATGTACTCTTTGGCACCACTGCTACAACTGCCTGGAAGGAAGTCACACTTGGACAGTTGAGACAAAAGACAAAGGGCTGCTTCTTTCCTCTCTCAATACCGGATAAGCATTCCAGTTGCTTAGCTCATATATAATGAGATTCCCTCTGGGGGACTTCCCAGTCAAACCTCACCTCCGGCTTTAATCCCAAGAGAAAAGGTCTGTGCCCTGTCTTTAGCTGCCTTGGGGACCCTCCCTCAGCAGGAGATGGATGATTCAATTGATCCCAACTCTCAGGTTAATTAATCCAATTGGACCTGATGGGCTAATTGATTTTTTTTGCTGTCCCACTGAGACATGGTTCAACTGTTATGGCTCAACAGTTTGAGTGAGATAACATTAAGGCCAGAAAGTCCACAGCTTAAAAGCAGCTCTTAGAGGCTATAATAAAGAATCCTAACAGGCACAGAAGGAGTTTAACATCCTGACACATCCTGACAGAATTACATTAGCATGTAAGCATGCAGTTAGTTTTAATGTCAAGTATTTAACTATAAATAAAAGCACAGGAAAAAATGCACATTTTGAGTTTGTGAATGAAAAATCAAGGTCTAGGATTCATCGCTTTTCACAGCCATACTGTCAATACCTAAAATTTCTGGTTATTCAATGCAATTGTATTTATATAGCACAAAATCATACCAAAGGTGATGTGAGGTAAAGACCCTGCAGTAATACAAGGAAAATCTGCAAATTATCCATTTCCAAAAAACATTGTTCTTAACATTATTAAGCATTATACACTTTTAATTACACCCATATTAATTTTTGCCAAATATGGTCAGTGGACTGGTACTTATATAGTGGCTTTCTACTCAATTTTGGCAAGAGTCACACAATCACACACACATACATTCACACACCTGTGAAGTACTTTAACTAATATTCAAACAGACATTCACACAGTGGACATTCACGGAGTAGTATTTGGGGTTCGGTGTTATTTGTGTGAACTTGGTATTTAAAATATATATAAACAAAGATGTCCTGTAAAGATCACCTTTCAGTGACAAAACAAACATGCTGCACTTGCTGATGATAAGACTGTAATTACATTGTCATCCTAAAATGCAAACATAAAGATGAGTAAGACCTGTCCAGGGTGTACCCCGCCTCTCGCCCTATGACAGCTGGGATAGGCTCCAGCACCCCCCGCGACCCTGAAAAGGATAAGCGGAAGCGAATGGATGGATGGAAAGATGAGTAAGCACTTGGCAACTGTTAAAAAGGGACATGGCAGGCTCGGGGAGGGGCCAATTTTGGGCAAAGGTTTCTTCCTGTTAAAATGAATTCATTCAAATAATCATAATAACTCATAATAATAATAATAATAATTTCACACAACACTTTTATGTACGCCTAGCTGCTTTGCGTAACATATTCATACCACAGACTTTCACACGCAGACACTGAGTGAAAGTATCAGGAGCTACTTCGGGTTTAGTATGTTTCCCAGGGATACTTGAACATGCATACTTGGAGGAGCCAGGGATCCTTTCCAATTGGTAGGTGACCCACGCTACTACTCAAGTCCAAACCAACAGCACTTGGTATTCTCAGGGAGTCTCCCATCGAAATCCTAACTAGGCCCAAACTTTCTTTTCTCCTGAGATCGGATGAGATCAGGTGTACTCAGAAAGGTATGGCTCTAAGCCATGTCTTAATGACTTTATCATATGAAGAGATATTTTGGACAGTTGAGACATTTCTTGCCTGATTATACTTCTATTCTCAGAGTTTCTCTCTTATCATGTTATGCTATCAAGAATATAAGCATGCGAGCATGCGAGCATGGACGGTCAACATATTATACCTATCACGAGAGGCCAGGCTCCAAGCAGACTAGTATAACACGAATTACAACTCAGCTGTCACAGACGGTCTCAAACCATCCATGTTAACAATAAGATGTAATGTGGGCTTAAGATTGTGACCTTGTAATTTACGTAACCTTTTTTCTGAGAAAGTGAAACTCATAGACTATTTCTACTACTAGTGAATCAAGAATATTCGTGTATTCAAGTGATGTAATTTTAAACTATGCTTCGGTTCTGCCAAAGATTTCTTCCTGTTAAAGGGGATTTTAAACAAGGGTTTTAAGGGATTTTTTTAACTGATCCACCCATAATACCAGTTCCAGTGTTATCAAAAATCGAATTTCCCAGAGGAACCCACCCGAGGGATTAATAAAGTTCTATCTTATCTTATCTTATCTTAAAAAGGAAAGGTTTAAGCCTGGTCTTAATAGTAGAGAGAGTATCTGTCTCCTGAATCTAAACTGGGGAGCTGGTTCCACATAAGAAAAGCCTGGAACCTAAAAGCTCTCCCTCCCAGTCTACTTTTAAATAATGTTGTCAGGAGAAGGATTTTACATTTGATTCTGCATTTAATGGGGAGCCAATAAAGAGAAGCTAATATGGGAGAAATATGGTCTCTTGTTCTAGTCCCTTTCAGTAATCACACCTCAGCACTCTGGATCAGCTGAAGGCTTTTTAGGAAGCTTTTAAAACAGCCTGTAACGAATTACAATAGTACAGCATAGAAGTAATACACGCTTTAACTACTAACTACTAATCCCAAACTACCAGGAACTGCAGTAATAAAATGGAAATTCAAATTTTAATTTGATGGGCCAACCCCACATTTTTCCCTTGTCACCACTTGTTGACAAGAGACCACAGCCAGTTTGACTGGGGTTTTGCATAGCTTAGTCGCTAGAGCGTTAAGTCTCAGCGATGACGAGCAACACAACCTGAGAAGTTAAACAAGTTTGTGTGCCACAGTGACTCGTATTTCACACAGCTAACTCAGCTATCAGAGGAGACTTGGCCCTCACTTCGGTCAGACAAAATGATCAGGTAATCATTGACTTTTCTGTTATTATGCCGTTTGTATAAAGACAATAATGTGCTTTAACCTCCTAGGACCTGGCGTTCACATATGTGGACATAACATTTTGGGTTATTTAGACCAAAATATTGAATTTTGCTTTGCTTTAGGAGGTTAATTTTGTTACAACTTGTATTGGTTTAGACAAGATAAGCTGAGATGATGTTTGAATGAGAACTTTTCTGTCATTCTAAGAAGTCCTGAAAAAGATTCTTAGCTTTCAAATACACTATCACTGAGAGACTCTATTCCTTTACAAGTTAACTATAAGAGGAAATAAAGATAAGTTATAAGTCAAACAATTCTAGCATTAAAGCTAGAATGATATAATACTAACGCTGTGTGTGTGTGTGTGTGTGTGTGTGTGTGTGTGTGTGTGTGTGTGTGTGTGTGTGTGTGTATTGGGGGGGGGGGGGTTCTGTAGCATTATGATTTATTATTCATTGAATTTGCATTTTATCACGGTTAATAGTTCGCTAGAAAACTTACTGTTTCGCAGACGTTTAGGAAATAACAGTGAAGAAAACAGGATGATCTGCTTCTTCTAGCGTTTCAGTGAAATGGAAGATTGTTTCTAGTGACAATATCCATTTCAGTCTTTGTCACACCTGTTCAAGGTGAAGAGTTCAGGTTATGTTCAAAATGCTGACTTTAAGTAATTTGATTATATGGACATTTTGCATGCAATTTTGTTACATAAGTATAATGTCAAAAGTAAATTTATTAGAATATGATCAAATTAAATGTACTTGATTGGTATATATTCAGTTTATTCCGAACTAATTTTAATGATATATTATTTTAGTAAAAACACCTTTGATTTGATACATTTCAGTTGATGAAAGTTTTGTTGAGGGCAAAGAATCATGTTTTTGATTGTGAATTTTCTGTAGCTAGTTTTATTATGCTTGTTTCCTTTGTCTACACTGAAGTCAGCAGCAGAATTAGCACATTGTTTTTATTAACTGATTTGGTCAGCTTTTAGGACTTTTAAGCACTTTTACTTTTTAATATACTTCTGTCATTTATGGTGTAACCTAAGAATGGTTACATTTAGTTAGACACAGTTTTAAATGTTTTATTATATAATTACAGAATATCCGGAGCTTTTTGAAAAATGTCAAATAAAATAAAAAATGTTTAATCCGATATAAACCATGACTCCAAAATCTGAATTCCTCCAAAGAAGTTTCAATAAGAGATCAATCCTAAAATGTAACACAACAAAATGTACTGTTCCTATATCAGTTATATTAAGCTATTATTTTTTATTAACCTCCTTATCAAAGAGGACTGCAGGTAGTTGGGGAAATCAAAGATTGAGTCACTCTGATTGACTCCAAGCCCTCTAGGACGAATTTTTGTCATTTTTGCAAATAACAGCTGTGTAATTTAAAGGCAGAAATATTATCAACAAGCTGCAATCAATCCAAGTCAGTCTGTGCCAGTGAGTGCAACTCCTCTGCAATACATCTCTTTGTAATAGTGGACTCGAGTCAGCTGGGCAGTAGCTGGTTAATTCTGGCTATACTCCTGTATAAAAGCAAGGTTGCCTGGTAGTTTGATAGTATGTCATCACTGGTAACATCAGTGATGTGCTTTTCAGAGGCCTACCTTCAAAGCGTCAAATCACAACAAAAGTTCCCTCAAGGTGCTTTACATTGTAAGGTAAAGACCTTACAATGTTACACAGAAAACAGAAAACCTCAAAATGAATATGACTCCCTACCAGTAGAGATTAATAATAACACATAATTAAATGCAGAGAGGTGTAAAAACACATAGTGAGTGAAAAAGGTGACTGAAGAAGAAACATTTAATGCTTCATGGGATGTTCATCTCCCAGCAGCCTAGACCTAGTGCAGCGTAACTAAGGGAGGATTCAGGATCACCTGATCCAATCCTACCTATATGCTTCATCAAAAAGGAAAGTTTTAAGCCTAAACTTAAAAGCAGAGAGGGTGTCTGTCTTCCAAATCCAAACTAGAAACTGGTTCCACAGAACCAGCCTGAGAGCAAAAAGCCCTAATGGGGTGATACGGTACTATAAGGTCATTAAATTAAGATGGGCCCTGATTATTCAAGAGCTTGTATGTGAGGAGTTGGATTTTCAATTCATTTCTGGTTCAACAGGGAGCCAAGTCAGAGAGACCACACTTCATTTTTAGTTAGTCATGCATTAGACACGGCCTATAGAAACTATGCTATGTATGTACGATATGATATGTTTGTAGTACCTGAATGTCTTAAGGCGTTATTTATTGATACATGCCTGATTGAAATTTCTGTTGAGTGACTATTTATTTATTTTTTCACTGTTTCCAGGGCCGGCCACATCGAAATTGTTATGCTCTTAGGATCACTTCTCTCTATTGTTTTTTTTCTTCAATATTATAGCGACACTGAAATGTTCCGCTCACCAAAACTTGTAAAAATGTATAACAATTCCTATAAATACTCATTCCCAAAATGTGAACAAAACATGGCTGCTGCCAGAATCTCAGGCTTCGATGGTTTCCCTGATATACTTAAAGACTTTCTTTACTATCGTCACTGTCGCTATTTTCCCATGATTCTGGACCTTCCTGACAAATGCGGAGGCATCGAAGAACCTGAAGACATCTTCCTTCTGCTTGTAATTAAAAGCTCCCCCATGCATTATGAACGACGTGAAGTGCTGCGAAAAACCTGGGCTCAAGAGAGGTCATACAAAGGTTTGCGGATTCGAAGGATTTTCATCCTTGGAACAATGGGTAATGACTTTGAGAAAGAGCGATTGAACAAACTCCTCAAAACAGAGCACCAGGAACACAATGACATCCTCCAATGGGACTTTCAAGATACATTTTTTAATCTCACTTTAAAGCAGGTTCTATTCCTCAAATGGATGAAAAGGAACTGTCAACAAGTTAATTTTTTGCTAAATGGTGATGATGACGTTTTTGCCAATACGGACAATATTGTGGACTACCTCCATGGTCGCCGTGAAAATAATGGAAGCCAGCATCTGTTTACTGGTTTTCTGATAAAGAATGGATTTCCTGTAAGATGGGACAGGAGCAAGTATTTTGTTCCATCTCAAGTATATGAAAAAAATGTTTACCCCAACTATTGTGGTGGTGGGGGCTTTCTTTTGTCCAGCTTTACAGCTTTAATGATACATAGCTATTCCAATGCCATTCCACTTTTTCCTATTGATGACGTTTACATGGGAATGTGCCTGGAAAAAGCAAAACTGGCACCAGCACCTCATATCGGTATAAAGACATTCGGATGGTACATTCCCTCCAAAAAAATAGATCAATATGATCCTTGCTATTTTAAAGATTACCTCTTGGTACACCAATTCTTTCCTAATAATATGTACCTTATGTGGCATCAAATAAATGACCCTAATCTGAAATGTGGTGTCACAAATTCGACTAGGACGATCCAAACTTAAACTTACGGTTAGTGATATTGCATTTTATGACTTTAAGTCACAGCAATCATTGAATTATGTAAAAGTTTTAAACTGATATATCACGTTTGCCCATATAGACAGTCAAATGTGAATTGAGTTGAGGTAAGTCTTCAGATTGGGAGGTAATCTCCAGCTTTTGAATATAGTCTAAGGGTCGAAAGTGTTTGTCATGTTTTCATATGTTGCAGGTAATCCACAAACACAGTTATGTTCACTGCGAGTAGGCCAAATTCAAGAAAGTGGGTTGGTGCTCGGGGGCACTAGTATTTGAAGTATTCATCTGAAGTATTAATTAATTACTTTTCCTGCTTTAACTGTGACTAGGGATGCACTATTATTTAACCAGTAATGACATTTGAGGTCAGAGTGAAAAAAAATGCACTTATTGAAGGCAACTTGTGATTTTTATCTGTTTGTAACGTTAATGCAGTGTAGAATTGAAATACTTTTTAGTTATTTGTTTGTAGTTGTTTTGTTTAAAGTAGGGGTTTGTTTGTTTCAATGGGGCAAAATGTTTGTTAATGAATAACAAACACGAAATAAAAAGGAGACTACTTGTCAACCAAAACGTTATTGTAAAGAGTGATCTGTTCATCCATTAATATGATATATTTAAGTGAATTTGGGTAGTTGTTGTGTAGATATGTATGCTAAGTTTGGTGTTGTGTTAGTTCAAATCCATATTAACCCATTCTAGCCTCAACAAGAAGTAAGGCTCAAAACTTAAATTACAGGTTTGACATCTACAGCATACACATTTGCTTTGTAAATGAGCTCTCCTTTGAGGAAAAAAAACATATCAGTTACCAATGGTCCCAGCTTAACAGAATTTAAATAAAGTTAATCCCTGGGTTAGCTCGTTCTCATCTAACATTCAAACATGAAAACATCACTTTTTCTGCACTTTAGATTGTTAGGTGAACAATGAAAAGCAAAAAATCACTTGGGAAACAGGGCACCACAGTTAGTCTGCATGCCATATACACAATTAAAAGATTAAATATATATGTGTGTAAAAAATATAGCTGCAAATCCCTGACTACTACTTTTGCTACGTCTATTTAGACGATGGCGCTGCTTAGGGTGCAGCCCAAGTCTTAGGATCCTCATCCAGCTGGCTGTCACGTATATGTGATTTCAGTTTGTTTGTGTTTTTAAGCCTCAGTGCATGCTGTCGGCTCTGTCAGACGTCAGACACAGTGACACTGTATTTTACAGGCAAAAATAAAATACTGGTGTTTTTCAGGCACGACAGTACAGCACTAAGCAAAAGCTTGCAAGAAGACTATTACTTTAAACATTTTTTAAAACACAATTACTTTAGTTTATTAAAATACCCAAATAAATCAAAGCATCTGATATTTTTTAAATGACCTGATATTAAATCACTGTTGTCAAGTATATACAAAATCAAATGTAATAGGTTGTATCTACATTTCAATCAAAGCCATGTGGTGACAAAAATACAACGCCTCAGATCACCACAGTCATAAAGAGACATCTTCTGGGTACCATGAATGTCTCTATTTAAAAAATTAAATTAAATTTAAAAAAAAAAAAAAAAAAACACCAGGTCCGTTCAACAGCTGTTTGGTGAAAGTAATGGACCCTCAGAGCAACACTGGCGTCCACAGAGCTGCATAGCATGGGTTAAATTTCCACAGAGACAATACACAATAACTGCACTGGTGATCTACTTGAACAAGAACAGAACAGAGAGAGAGTATACAACTTACATAGTGCTTCGAAGGATTCCTTCTTTTCTGCACGTCCACAACATTTACGTCAAGGAAGGTGCGGAACTGCATCTTGACAAGCGAACAAGATTTGCACCAAACACAATACTACAGTTTGCACCAACGATGTTCACCCATGAAAACTTGGTTGCTTGTAGTAGAAGCGCAAGAAGAAGAAGAAAGAGTTGAGAGGAATGAAAAGAAATAACTTTCCTCTTTCAGGCTTTGGGTGCATCCATGAAATTACAGTGTCAGACGGCCTCGGAGCATCTGGACTCCTTGTGAAACATGACAACGCAATAAAACTGGCGTCTAATCAGACTTCTCCTCCTTCGGGAGGGGCTGCGCCGCTGCTGTTGCCAAAAAACGGGGGGCAGTCTGAGCAGTACAGCGATTTAATATGTAGGCTATGGGGCGGTCCTGCTTCAGCTGGCTGGACACACCACACGGGACCAAGGAGGTCACACTGTTTTCAAACAGGTTCTTGGATTTGTTGGTCATCCCTAAAGTGACTGATAGTTTGGGTGAAATGTGAATAGTGAAAAGACACATTTCCTCTCCATAAATGGGCGATGGGCTGAACTGCTGTATAAGATGAAACATCTGTAGTTTTTTTTTTAATGATTTTGAAACGCTTTTTTGCAACAATAAACAGTCAAGAAAACAGTCCGTGTGTCTGAGCAGGCACGGACATTGACCGTGTTCGCTACTTGCAAACAAACAGGCAATTTGTCTAGTTGGCTGACGCGTATATACTTGTCTAATTTGGCTATCGCTTCCACGTTATACATTAGATTTCCGACAGCACCTAAAGCAGCCAGCATACCGTTGCTCCCTCCTTGTGGAGACACGAGGTAAAGCGCGAGGAGGAGGTAAAGAGAACAATTCATTATTATTCCCACATTGTGGCGCTGCAGAACATAAGTGGTCTGTTTGCGTTGTCCTCCTGTCTAGATAAATTTCCTTCCTGTTTGTGCCCTATCCTATAATAAATCTTTCCTTATAATTTATGACAGGTATACTGTTTATAACATCTAGTAACATAGTAACATACAAAAAAAACACAGACATAGATATTTTTGCACCACTTTTTGAAATTGAGTCATGCTGGAACATTTCTCAGTCTGCTCCACAGCTTCATTCCACATACAGTAATTCAAAACCTTTTTTGTGTCGTCCTAATATGCTGCTTTAAAAACAACAACAACAACAACAACAACAATAATAATAATAAACTGTTTTAAAACTACTTATTTTTACTTTGCACATTTCTGAAGTGACCATATTTAGTAACGCCTTTACATTCCCTCTAGAACAAAAAGGTTTTGTGTCATATGCGAATATTGCTAATGTTGACATATCAGATGTGTGTAACGTAATTTCTATAAATAATGACATTTGTATTCTTAATAGGCTCCCAACATAGACTAAAGTATATTATTTGAATGTTTTGCTCACTGTAGGCAAGTGAAATATTATAATTTTTTGGCTGTTATCAAATTCAGATTAGAGATGAATACTCTGCTATATATTTTAGGCTGTACCACAGCATTATTTCTAATGTAAGTATCAACCAGTTAAAATGCTTTTTCCTGTTAACTGGTAACTCTATAAAAGTAGTCCACTTTTAATTTTACTGTAGTTTTTACTGTTTAGCTGTTAAAACCAGTGAGAAGTAAAAAAGTGAAAGACAATTTTATTTTACAGTGAAATCCAAAGATGAGTTGTGATGCACTGAGTTTTGTTGCTAAATGTGAAAACTAATGACTAATAAACTAATTAAACTAATATTACCAGGTATTCACAAAATGAAAAATAATAGAATTAGAATAGAATAGAATTCAACTTTATTGTCATTGCTCATGCACAGGTACAGGGCAACGAAATGCAGTTTGCATCCATCCAGAAGTGCTTTAGTGATCTAGATATATTACAATATATACTAGCAATAATATAGATATGTAAGTATATTACAGAAATGGGTCTATTATGGTATGTTATAATGTACACGGTATGAAGTATGTTGTGAATAGTATGTACAGGCTGTAGTGAGTACAACTATGTACAAGATATGAACAGGATATAAATATGAAAAACTATACAGAATATGAAATAAATAACTTTACAGAAATCTGAGATATACAGTTATACAGAAATGGGAACTATGCAAGTTGTAAACAGTTGTAGGGTTAAAAAATAAATAAATAAATAAATATTTTTAAAGAAAAAAAAAGGGGGGGGGGGGGGGGGGGGGGGAAGAATTCTACCATTTTCTCCTCTTTATGCCAACAGGAGGACCACAACTGGCATGCGTGGTAGAGGCGAGGGGGCTGAGCCCGGCTGAGCGGAGCACGTCCTGCTGGGGAGGAAATAGCCGCTACCCAGCTGCGTCAAGCTAACTAGAAATAGACCTGCTGACAGCGGAAATCTATTTTTATCCTCCGACGTAAAAGCGTCCACTCTGTTGTTTTGCTCAAGTCAACCAGTCTGTTTCTCGTACTCCAAAGTGAACCAGTGAAGCGGACCGGTTCGGTAAAATCACGTTGATACTGCGTTTACGCCACCTATCATACATTGAAACGCCTAACCATCGAGGTTTAAATTCGGTCTTGTCACGCAGTACCGTCACACAATGTATTACTATAAAATGTGATTATAATCCTATATATTCTATCGTAATATACTTATATTTGATCTAACGTGAATAATGTATGTAAATTATAATTGGTTGTTTATTTAGATGCGGAATATATAGTGTACAAAGCCACAGCAAAAATACATCTTCGCTCAGAAAGGCAGATGTAATATGACATCCATGACCACCTAACTCCAAACGCTATAGACCCTTGTATAGTTATGACGTAGGCAGTCGAAGGTCTATTATAGATTTTCTTTTTGTCTTATAAGTTTAATATGTGAGGGGTTTTTAAAACCCTTTATTGTATTAGTCAACTAAGCTTTTCACCTGGCAGCCATTTTGGTCATTCCTACGGGAAGTTATTCTGGCAGTTATTTTGAAGCATCATCTAAATCAAATGGTATTTTTATTTTAGTAGTCAGTGGGACAGAAAAACTTTTAATGTGTAGTAGTTTTTTTATGTCATTTAAAAGCTATGCTAACTGTATCACAAAACAAGTTTAGAAGTTTGTGGTTTTTTAACTTTTTTCTGACATCAATAATTAAAACAAAATATCGCTACCATTTTTTTTGACGAAATTGAAAAAATAAAGCGAAATAATGTAAATAAAAAGGTCTGCGTAACAGTTGCGTTTTATTTTGAAAGACTTTAGCGGAAATATCGAGAGCTGCGATAGCAGCTTGATGCTAGTCCACTAACTTGTGTGTGGTCAGTCAACCTAAGCATGAGGTCCGTTGACTGCGTTTTCGTGTTGGTAACGTTATACGATTAAAGAAAATATTCTGTCGAAAGTGATGATATGGTAAATATTTTTTCCGCTTCGTTTAATTTTGTTCGCTCAAAACGGAAACACGAGCCTCTGCGGAACAGCTAACTCTTCTCTGTATCCCTCATCTCCTCCGACAGCGTCCTGTGAAGGCTGCTAGCTATGATGTGACTGTGATATCCGCCGTCGAGGGAAGTTATAATTGACATTATCATAGCTGAATGGCTAAAGCACCGGTCTGTCTGGCTTAATTTAACGCTTGAATGCTCTCATTTCGATAGCCTTTTGAGCTCCGCGTCGGAGGGAACCGCTATATTTTCTTGGCGGAAATAACCGAAGAGAGCGTACTCGCGGTGCTGT